GGGTGTGCCTCCCTGGGCAGGGCACGTCGGGCTGCCAGGGATGTGCTGGGCAGGCCCCTGCTGGACGCGCTGCCCCGTCCCCACGGCTGAGCCCGGTGCCAGGGGTGATCAGGCACCCGCAGCCCGGCCCGAACCTGCGCCAGGAGTGGGTGTTGCACCTCGCTGGTTAAGGCCTTCAGCGCTGTGATGCCTCACGAAAACACCCGGGGGTCGCTTGTTTCAGCACTCACAAAACTGTGCCTAAAGCCTTGCGCCTTGCCCCTGCTACAGCTGATGGCACCATCAGTCAGAAGGATGTTACGGATTTAGTTGGACTAGATGCTTCTCACCAGGAGTGCTTTGCCATGGATCCTGCTTTGCTATTGCTGAGTTCAGCCTAAGTGTTTGAATTCATTCTGGTCAGTACTTCCATTGTATTATAATTAACGATTATTTCGGTAAGTGCAGGTTGAGCACTGGAAGGAATTCCTCCTCTAAATTGTATGCAAGATGTGGAGGGTTGAAAGGGAGTTGACAGACTTGCTTGACCACATTCTGATATAATTTTTTTAGTGTGAAGAAATTGAAGTACCTTTTACACAGAATGAAAAGCCATGCAACAGGTCTGCTGGCCTGCATCCAACACAGGATTTCTGAGGGTAGAATGACACATTTGGCAATCCTTCCTCTGAATTTTTACACTTGTAGGTGTGCAGAGTGTCATGTGGGGGAAACATTGATATGTGGACTTCAAGCGTTCGCAGATCTGGTTCCTACTCTTAAAAACAAAGAGGAGACATGGTGCATGTTAAAAGGCAGCAGGTGGTAATTTTTGTCAGTGTAACTTCTTAAATGAGTAATCTAGCTTTTAATGTACTGGAGTGCTACTGGATTTAAAAAAAAATAATAATAATTCTCTCAAAAAATTATTCTTACTTGGTGACAGGATGGCATGACAGTTCTATCACATTACCTACATATAAATTGGTCCAAATAGCTAAATTCCAGAAAATATCTTTAAAAATATCAAAGATTCAAGGCCTAAGAACCAGTAAAAGAAACTGGAAGAAAGACAATTGTATTTGTCTATGTTGCAGGACCTGGTTAAGTTACAGCTCCTACCTAGCTTGTATGGGATACAACTCTGAGCAAATAATCCAGATCAGGAATAAAAAATTGTACTGCCCCTCCCCTCTGGTGATTCGGCAGAGCTCTGCTGCTGCAATATTTAAACACAGCTAGGCTGAAGGATTGTCCTCAGGGGACTCCAAGCTTCAGCAGAGGTGTGCTGTTACAGTTTCACGTTGGGAAGGCAGAGGAGTTGTAACAACACGAAGCAACAGAAGAGTGGTCAGGCCTTGCTGTCAGTCTTCACGCCCAAGCGTGGATTGCTCTTGGAGTTCATTCGGAGCTACCTGAGTTGCTTAGAAAGTCCAGCAGGTGCATTCTGTGAGTGCAAGTCTGTGCAAAGAACACTTGAGGGAACTTTCTAGCTGATGAGACAAAATAAACCCTACTGCTTCGAAAGTTTCACTTCCATTGATTAAATAGATTCATATCAATATGAACATTTTTTCTGTTATTTATACTTTAAAATTCCAATTTTTAATGGATTGTTAAGAACAAAAGCACCTTCTTCTACTATTGCTTTTGGAATTTGTTTCACTTCCTAGTTTGGTTTATGACAGTCTTAAACTTTGCCCTAACAATAACTACAGTAATAATAATACAATGAAAGAATAAATACACAATGGTTGCTTTCTCAGTTCTCTGCTTCCAGTTTCCAAGACTGTTGCATAGGGTATCTATCCTCTGTTGACAATACATTGCAACATCCTTCTCTGTGTTGTACTTAGACTTACTGAGATAAGCTTGAATATTTTTAAGGTCTTGTTTTAAAGCACTTTGGGAATGTGAAAGTTTAAGAGGTGCAAGTTTTAATCTAGCCTATACTGGGTTTTGATCACTATGTTTTCTTAAATCTATCTTAAAGTAAAATCTGTAGCCAATTAAGTGTATTTTTTTTTAATATTAAAGCATTCATTTTTGACAGGATTTTTCACAGATTTTTATAACTTGTTAGTAAAAAGATAAGAGTTTACATGCAGGTGATTATACCAAACTCGCTAATTTCAGGTGCGTTAATTTCTCTTTAGGTTCCAAACTTGATCATCTTTTCCAGTGTATAACAAGCAAGTGTAAACACTACACTTAAAGCTTCATTGGGTTCTTTGCAGAACCAAGTGATCCAGCAGTGAGCATGTTTTATTTTACACAAATGTTAGTACTTGAATTATGCAAAATGCTTCTGCATTATCATGCTCAGTCAATTCATAAATTGTTAGGACAGAAAAAAAAATAAACAGCACTACCTTGAGTAAAAAAAGTTCTATCTTCTTCTTTTTGTGTTCTGTAGTTGCCTTCCTGCATTACCTTCACAAAAACTTGAAGGAGGAATAATGACCTACTATTTACCTTTTAAAATCCCATTTCTCAGGTGACAAATAAAGGGCAAATAAAGAGGGGATTTTGACCAGCAATATCAGTTGGATCTCTGTGTAATCAGAATATTTTCCATGGCAGCAACTATTACCTATTGTTAGTGGTAGTTATTCTTTGTTCATGTACCCTTGCAGATACAGGACAGCTGCAACCCACATGCAAAATAATCCATTACTTGTTTCACCTGTGAGCCTGTATTTTGTCAAATATTTATCTTAATCTTTCTTATCTCCACTCTTGCTTACACACCGATGTGTGAGAACAGTAGTGAAAACATGAGACAACCAGCAAGAAAAGATGTTCAGTTACAAAGCATGAGGACAAGCCCAGAAACTCTTCCTTGCAGCTAGGCTGCCTTGATGGAACTCATCCAGTGAATGACTTGCTTAGTGCATGAATTCAAGGTTACGCAGCAACGTATTCTATGCAGTATTGTAAAAGATGGTCAGTTTACCAAAAATGCAGAAAGTCTGCTGCTGAGAAGTAGAACTGGTCTGAAACATTTAACCTGCTTAAGCATAGGAAATAATATATGAAGAGAGTACTGGGAGGGAGATACTAGGAAAGCATGAAGCAAGTAAGAGAGTCTATTTCCAAATAGGTCCCTAGGCAGTGGAAGTTCATGTCATTTTGAGTGACTTATTTATTTATTTATTTATTTTCCCTGAAAAACAGTTAATGCACTACCTCATTATAAGTTAATGTGCTCGTCTACAAAGTCAGCATTCAATAAATGATCACCACAAGTCAGGAGGGCTGAGTAACTGCCTCTGCTTTAGAGTCAGCCTTAATAAATAACGTCTAATGGATTCCATGGCAGTCTCCACAGATGTTCCCTGTACAGCATGTAGGTTTTTTTATTTGTTTCTGGAAATACGTGATGGTTATGTAGGGTGGTTTTTTTTTTCTTACTGGCTGTGGAAAAAAAGCTAAAATTAAGTGCATGTTAAGTTTCTGTTATTCGTAACTTCAGTAGCCCTCCCTCTTGACCACATCATTTACATGTTTGCTTTGGCTTTGTAACTGATAGAATACCAGCCAGTCAACTAAAAGGCATTTTATTCATTACGTGTGATATATTTAATGTTTCTTTTTTCTTTTTAATTCTAAGTCTCTAATTTACTGCAGATATGGAAAGATCTACATTGATCCTCCATCAGAAGTAGTGCCTTGAGTTTTTAGTTTGTTAAATTGGGGAGGGAAATGGTGATGTGGAAGGAATAGTGAGAGAGGATTGAGTCAGGATCACATTGCTTAATATGAACAATTACAAATACCTATGCAAAGTGTAGCTTAAAAAAGAGTTGTCAGTAGAAGTATCAAAGACAGAGTCAGAAACAGAAGGAAGAGGGAAATTTAGGGTGAATGAGTACAAATAAGGAATAGTGAGGTCTAACTTGGTTTCACAGTGATTGGTGGATCCACACTGTTGCAGGCTACTAGCAGTCTCCTGCATTATTAATGAATATTAGCATTTATAATTCAAAGTATTTAGTAGAAAGAGAAGTAAACCTATCGATATAATCATGCAAACCCAGGAAGGTTGCCCTAACCTCGCAGAAGCAGCAATGTACAATGTGGGGAGTCTTAAAATTAACTTTCATAAAAGGACATTTACACTGTACATGAAGTTACAAGGCACATGAAGGCAGCACTTGCATTAGGATTCCAACAGGGGTGTAGGTTTTCAGTTTGCGTTATACTACACTACTCCAAATGATTTAGGGTTTTGGTAGGAGATACAGTTGTTGAGTAAATAAATAGAGAAAAGAAGAAATATTGTATTAATAAAGCAATTATATGTTTATAAACCAAATTATATACAATTACATATCCTTTGGATAAATAAAGTGTTAAATTATAACAGCTAGTAATAAGGAAATAGGTAGCAGATTATACCACAATCAATCTACTGTGTTTATCAGCTGACAAAGTCCAGTATGATTGTGTTATTTAGATCTTTGAAGCACAGAACAGACACCCATATTTTCTTTATCACTGGTGTGGGAGGGTAGGTGTCAAAAGTCACCAACTACCCACTGATTAGGTATGAAAAGGAGGGCAATTTTTCTCACAAAACCCAGGTGGTTTTATAAAAACTACGTCCCTATAACATATTCTGAGAAGCTCTGTAAATAAGATTTCCCTTTCCTTGGTAAATGTGTTACAGAAGATGTATTCTAAGCAGTGAGCAGTTTTTCACTTGCTTTACGGGTGCTGAGGACCTAAAGGGGAGGTGTGCTGGCCGTCGTGGGAAGGCACACGAGGGAAGCAGGGCACGATGGCAGAATTTAAAAACCCTTTTCTGGTGCACATTAGAATTTCATCAGTTTAGATTCTGGAGCTGCTTTTCTTGCTTATTCTTTAAAGATGAACCGAATAGCTTTGTTTCTTCATCTGACTGTACTAAGTGCATGTATTAATTGTACACTACAGCCTGGCTTCCTGATACAATCTTGCAAACAAATGCACCATTGCCTTTAAACGAACAAAATACTCATAACCATTATGATGAGGTGGCTTGGGCTAAACAGTACCTGGCTAAGTGCTGAGCCGAGAGGCTTTTTGCTGTAAAAGCAGAGCAGCAGTCGGGAGGTTTTTCGGCTGGGGTCCGAGCTAGGACGGGGAGGGCTCCTGGCAGAGGAGGCTCTGCCGAGACTCGGCTTCGCAGCGCGAACTGGGGGGGCACTCGAGCCGCCCGTGTCCCCAGGGGAAGGTCCGACGGCGTGAGGAGCAGGTGCCACCGCTGCTCCCTGCGGTCCGTCCCGACGGGCTGCCCGGGCGCTGTGGAGCGGGAGGCGGGGCGGGCGGGTCT